GCAGGGGACTATTTGAACTTGAATGACTAGAACAATGGACTTGATTGAACTCAAATGAGCTTGGTACAAAGAACTTGAACCGAACAAGACTACAGAGGACTTTGACATTGAACTCAAACTTGTGGATATTTGAACTTGAACAAAGAACTTGGACTTTAACAAATCATATGAAATCAAGGTTAAAACAAGATGCAATAAGCCAAGACTGATTCCAAACAACAAGACTTTTGCAGCTATACAAGCTAGAACTCATAAAGAATGTTGAATGAATTTTCAAGGCATACAAATGATGAATGATAGAATGGCTTGATATATTCAAGAAAAATCAACTTGCAAACGAGAACGAGTGATATCCACATCGTCGTGCAAGCAAATTCAACTCCCCTTGTAAACAAAGAGATTTGGTGGATCATTATGGTTCATTACAAATATAGGAGTGCCCATAACATACTACAAGCAACATCGAAGGAGCTACAAGGAATGCAATGTCGTATCTCTCATTAACAACAATTCAATTTCAAGAAGATACAATCACGAATGAGATCAAATGCTAATGAGTAAATAAAAATGCTTGTATGCAATGAACAATAAAATGCAAGAGTAGCATGCATGTCAATAACAACACACTCAATGAAATATGCATGAGCAGTAACAAGGATCTTGTAGTGATATGTCCACAAACAAAGTAAGGGAGAGGAGTGGATCCTTTGCTATCAATACGGACTAGCATGTAAGCGAGCACATAACGGTCTACTTTCAATAAGAAAGATAGATATGTTATAAGAGACCCACACCACAATAAGCATGTCAGTACAACAAGAAGATTCGACGTTTGGTGGAATAGACATGGGGCAACGACGATGAATATTCTACAAATACTTGGGAGATAAACTGCTAGAAGGCAAAATGTGGAAGATCATAGCAAAGGGAGATACTTACGGGTCCTTGTAAAAGAACCGTCATATGCACCAGATGCCATCTACAAACAAAAAAACAGATGACACATAGCAAAATGCAAATATGTATGGGCCTTCATAGGAGACCCGTCATACACAACAAGCTATCCACAAGAAAAATACATAAGAGCTTCAAAAAAAAGTGCAAGCTCCTAAGAACAAAGGCAGGAGATTAGTTAGTGTACTATGATCCGCCTACAAAAATCAACAAATAGTGCACAACAGTCTACCTGTACAAAGCAGCAAACAATTGATCCATAAGCTGCTACTCCACGCCACCGAATCCGCAACATTCATACAAGCGGATAGAAGGCGTCTACAAATACTTTCAAAATACCCCTGCACGTGCACCGTAGCTTGTATACACATAGGTACACTAAAAAGGGTAATTATAATCAAAACACGCATGGGCCCCGGCGAGCGTGTTATTGGTACACACGTGACATCTAGGGATGCTGCGCGGGTTATCAAATTTTAAACCCGATCCTCCTTAGCAGGTAAAAAGGAGTCGACAGGGTTTAATTATAAAATACCCCCAAACCTGCATGGGCCCCGGCGAGCGTGTTATTGGTACACACGTAACGTCCAGAGATGCCGCACAGGTTTGACAAGTGAATTTAAGTTCGAAACCGATCCTTCTATACTGGTCAATAGAAGTAGACAGGGTTCGAACCAACAAACAAATATACGGTTGTGACAACCGTTATATTTATCTTAATACATTCATATTAGGCCTTCAATGCTTATAACAATAAGAATTCACTATTAAGGGTATAAAACCTACGAAACCCGATCCCCAGTCAATAGCTCGGCTGAGTAGACAAGGTTCAAGCTACAAATAGAAATGACCCAAGTACACCCCGATGATGGCCGTGTTGAATGCAGATCTCAACCGGAGGGGTTCCCCAAATATTTTAAATGTCTCTCAAATATCCATAATCCATTTAAAATTCCAAAGCTCCACCCAAATACCCATTAAAAATCCAAACACTCCACAAAAAATCCCAAAATCCCAAAAATATTTAAAAATGAAACTATCCATCTCAAAGCTTAAAGTAAAATTCATCCACCCTCCGCAACAGTTTGCCGAGGTGGACAAATTTAAAACTACTTCAGCTCACAAAGAGCCAAATGCCTAGTCGAAAATATTACTATGATCCATTCTCAAACATCTTCCTGCGATAAGGACGTGGTACATGTCCTCTGACCGGCGGTCTGCCGCCAAATGGCACCGCATGATAAACGGTTATGACCCGGGGCCCTCTGAAACCAGTGGTTTTGCCGCCAAAATGGCACCACGAAATACCGGTTATGGCCAGCGCCGTTACGTTCCTTATTGGCATCAGTCCTTGAGTATGAATCAATAGATATGATCGATAGGGCACAAAGCCCTCTGTAGCTAAGGTGGATGCAATTTGCTCCCCTTAGAAAAATAACCATCCCAGGTCTATAAGGTCCCCGTGGACGAAGCAACCTATGGCTGCCGACAAGGATCCTTCTGTCAGGTTGGGTCGACTACCTCCTCTGACTAAGTAGACCAGGGACCACGATGGCCCGGGATGACGGAACCATGGGATCTTGATCATGTCTATCATCCATTCCCCCACCACCCGCTTTAAGTTCAAGATGGTGCAATTTCTGTTTTAAATATCAATTTTCCAAATCTTCAAAACCTTCAAATTCCCAAATATCAATCCTCCAAATTCCCAAATTCTCCAACCATTCCATACCTATGCTGCTACTATATGCCAGATAACACGTATCTCTATGTATCTGATTAACGAGTAGCCTTAATCGATAGTTCTCTCTCATGATCGGGAGGGGTAATTAACTATAGGGGCTTGTGCCTATAGGAAACCAGAACTCATATCATAAAGTGCTCACCAAATGAGGGCAAAATCTCTGGGTAGTGTCATATCTACAAACCCATCTGCCTTCCAAAATTTACCCCGGAACTTATTCCATTAAAACTCCCTCGCCGAATAAAAGAAAAGCGAGGAGGCCGGGGCCGAATTTTCGGAGCCCACATCCATAGCTCAAGTTTAGGCTCAAGCGAGTGTATAAGATCAAACTCAACAAGTCAAAATATAGTCGAGTGGTTGACCGTTCACGGTAAACATAACCAAGCTCCATCAATCTGATATCAAGAGCTATCAATTGGTCAAGTTATAGAAACACAAGCCTGCATAGCACTAGAGCTCAAGCAAATGTATAAGATCGAACTCAATAAGATCAAATATGGTCGAGTCATTGACTGTTCTACTTGCTCAACTAATTTCAATAATCTGATTATAAAACCTGTCTAGTTCTAAGCTTACCTGACTTGACAAGTTTGAGTTACTCAGATTCACGATATTTTCTCATCTGGTCAATAGATCAACTAAAAAATAAGATGGTATGCTTTCAAAAAAAAAGTAATACATTTAAGTATTCATTCAAGAGGCTTTCAAAATATACAAGCTCAAAAAACTTGAAAACCTAAAAAGAGGACTCTAAGTATGCAAAAACTCCAATAGCTTAGGTCGTAAAAAGCACAATGCTCCATAGCTCAAGTCTAGGGCTTGAGCAGATGTATAAAGTCGAACTCAACAAATTCAAATATGGAGTCACTAAAACTTCCTTTACTCAATAAAACATAAGGCAGGCTGCAGTAAAAAACACTCGATTCACCAATCAAGCATATATTCTCAATTAGATGAAGGGTTAGGATAACATCATTAAAATAATAATCCTTACTAAAAGGAGGCACCAAGCAAAGCTTGATATTATTAGCAAAGTCAAAATCTCCAATTCTATCAGAAACTTTGATAAAGTGTAAAACTAAGACCAAAGGAGATCTTACTTCTTCAACAAAATAGAAAGCACATAACTGAAAAAATTATCCTGACGTTCTTACAAAACTCAAGGCTGAACCTAGATAATTTTATTATCAATTAGTCTATTAAGCACAAGCACTAGATGGAAGACTCTCCGTAATCAACCTAATAGAATCCATGGGGGCTAGATTGAAAGCACAGGTCCGAAGGTATACTCATATAGCCTGATAAGTCAACAGAGACAATTTAGACCAATTCTTTTACCAATGGTGCCTCAAAAACATAGGAAAAAAGGAACCCCAAATTTCAAAACTGCTAAAATGAGACCTTCACCAAGTCTACCAAAGTAAACTGCACAAGACAAAAGGTATACTCATTTTGACTAACAAGTCAATGAAGATAATTCAAATAAATTTCTTCATTACGTTCATTAAAGCAACCAAAATTCAAATTTTAAAATTACCAAATGAAAACATCATTATCAAGTCCATCAAGCACAAAGTGTCAGACTAATAACAATCTTTATTGGCTCAACAAGCCAATCAATCCAGTCAAAAGAAAATTCAAATTCTACTCCCAACTCTTAAAGTCAAACTCATAGAAATGATTAGGGAATCACCATGGTCGAAAAAAGACTAAGCATTAATCGAAGGAAATCACCAAGGTTCAATAAAGTTGAAGCATGAATCAATACACCATGTTGAAAGAGCACAAGCCAAAGTACAATTCATTTCGGCATCCCTGTATAACTTAGGAGATCTACAAAGAACTCTCAGCATAACATCCAAGCAAACTCTTGAAGAATCGCAAAGTCAAACCCTTAGTTTGACATCAAAAACAGATATTTGGATGCCCAAGAAATACTTTTAATTTCAATATAAATTAATATTAATGCTTACTAAAAAAATTTAAAGTTGACAAAACAAACCACACTCCATATTAATAGATGGAGAACAACAATCCATAAAGCTGGTGCAAAATAGGTGGCACAAAACTAACAAGGATGGTAATGCTGACAAATTAAATAAAATTTGAAAACATGCATCTACTTCCTAAGCAAAAAGAGCACTTAGGTGCTCAGAGCATCCTCTCACCCACCACTGATATTTTAAAATATTAGCAGCAATATTAATCAGACAATATCAATATAATTTCAATTCAACTTCTGCTGCTTAGACATGTAATGTAAAATATATTAAAATTTGTTTTCTCCACCAGCAGCTCTTACCTTTCTATGAGAGCATCAACCTCTGCTTTGCACTTTGGCCCATGGATCAAAACTCTGGTGAGACTTAATATATCACTATAATCCCCATATTTTAGTGCTTCTTCACCAACAGTCCGATAAGCAAAACTATTTCTGGATAGTGCTGAAGAAATAAATGTTTCTGCTTTCTCAGATGCTCCTGACGAAAACTTTGCATTTGCATCTAGTCCAAGGCATTTGATAACCATTGCATATGCAACCCCTCCATATCCTGTAAGTGAAACGAAAAGATGATACCTGGCACAACTGCAGACAAGAATACTGGTAAGGTACCACATATGATTCAATTATATAAAGAACTAGGGTATCAAATACATACTCATTTTTATAGTGTTTTATAGCATCGGCATCTGCAGCAGATGGTTCTCTTTCTCTAGTCAAAGGTATCCTTCTATAATCTATGTTGTATCCTTCATCTCTCAAAGCAGCATATACTTCAGCTGGTGTCTTGACATCATTTAACAAGAGATGCTCCCAAAACCCGATAACAATACAATGGTTACTAACTGGATTAAATTCCTCTTGATGCAGAAGTATTTGGCCATTTGACTGGGCAACTTCAGAATTTATGTCCTCTTTCATCCTCAACTCTATGCTTTCTACCTGAATAAAGAATGTGATTGGCATTAGACAAATAATATATTAGGTTACTGGAAACCGGCATTAACTAGAAACTCACCAAAGGCCCACTAATACCAACATATCTAAGCGTATCAACTGGCCGATCTAATTCTCTAAGAACATACGGTAAGCCATTGATGTAGATAACAGCTTCCTCTCTCAAATCCGTTATAAGAACATTTGGGGGAGTACGTCCATTTCCTGTCCACTTGGCACCCAAATAGTCAAGCATAGCCCTCGCGCCGTCAATAGTTGGGGTTGCCATACTATAAACAGGGTATGCATCCACCTGATAAAGGTTCTCTGGTTAAAAAAAGTTATAGTTGCAAACATGCTAGGGTGCTCGACAAGCCTGATGCATGCCAAGTGATTTATTTAGAATGAATATTACAATTTACTAGAAACCTGGCCATAAATACCTTCTAACTAATATTAAAAGGTAACATATTTAGATAAGGAATGATTCTTAAAACTTTCTCCCCAGTTACAAACTTCTGGGTGAAAGGAATGAAAAAATATTAGGGACAGTATAATCACTAAATATATTATATTGCGACATTTTTAGAAGCAAAATAATTAGAAAATAGCATGGAGACTAATTAAGGCAACATGAAAATAACATAATAATCATAAAGAATATATAAGAACTAGATACAATATTTGTAGGCAACATTATTTAACTGCTACGAACCTATGGAATGGATCAAAATTAACAATTTTAAGGAACCTTAAATAAAAGTAAATGATTCAATATCATGAGAAATACTAGTTTTACAAATCAGCAAAAAGTTATCATGTTACAACTTCCCATCATCTGAAATTTGTCTCTCATAAATGGTAATTGATTAAAAGAGGTATAGAATAGGAGTAATAACCATATTTAAAAAATGTAAACGATCCTTCTCAAAACAATGTACAAGACAAAACTATTTGCATGGCTAAAAGCATTGCTGAAGGAAACAGCATAGCTAAATCTTATGTTTAATTTAAACAAATAGAATGATCTACCACCTTGATTAGATGAAATACCTTAATCAAAATATCAAAAAAATGATAATAATCAAATTGGTCTAGTTAGATGATAAGATTATCCACAAACAGCTCTATGAGGGTCAAATGCAGTATACTGAAAAAAAAAAAGAAATGAATTCATGACATCTGCAAGGCTAGAAACTAGAATTTCAATTCACACATAATGCAGAAACCAAGCAGCTTGATCATCTGTGTTGGACCATCCAAATTTAATGCTATTGCAGTATACTTACTGTTAAAACGAGATATTTATGAAGGAAAAGCTTAAGCTTTATTGCATGAATTCTTCCCTATATATAGATCTATACAAGATATTAGAAAAGGAAATAAATAACTACATAATAATGAAATATAACTCTTCCTAAATCAACTGCCTATCTATGGAAGGTGTTTCAATGTGATTCATGAGTGCTTCCCATGGATTGCTCTTTGTGACCGTCAGATCCTTTCCTCTAGTAACGGCTGGATTTCAACACTCCCCCTCAAGCTGGGAAATATAGATCTATCATTCACAGCTTGTCAATCATCCTGAGAAAGACAGAACTGTCTAGTCCTTTGGTAAGAACGTCTGCAAGTTGATCTTTTGATGATACATGGTCGATACTTACTAGACCACTGTCTAGTTTTTCTTTAATGAAATGTCTGTCCACTTCTATGTGCTTGGTCCTGTCATGCTGGAGTGGATTGTGGGCTATGCTGATTGCTGATTTGTTATCACAATATAGCTTTATGGGCTCATCCCAATTGACCTTTAAGTCTTCTAGGATTATTTTGATCCATAGTAGCTCACATATTCCCAAAGCCATAGCTCGATATTCTGCTTCTGCACTAGATCTTACCAATACATTCTGTTTCTTGCTTCTCCATGTAACTAGGTTACCTCCAAGAAATGTGCAGTATCCAGATATAGATCTTCTATCAACAGGTGATCCTACATAGTCAGCATCCGTGTATGCTTCTAGGATTATTCTGCTATCTCTCTTAAAGAGAATCCCTTTTTCTGGGTTTCCTTTAAGGTAGTGCAATATCCTGTCAACCGCTTGCATGTGAACCTCTTTAGATTTTGCATAAACTGACTGACCATGCTTACAGCAAATGCTATATCTGGTCTAGTGTGAGAAAGATAGATTAATTTCCCTACCAGTCTCTGGTAGGCTCCTTTATCCACATCTGGATCCTCTCTAGCTTCTCCTAGTTTAAGATTAGGCTCTACTGGTGTTGGTACTGGCTTACAGGCTAGTTTCTCTATTTCTTTCAGAAGATCTTTAATGTACTTTTGTTTTGAGATAAAGATTCATTTGCTGGAGTGAGCAACTTCAATTCCAAGAAAGTATTTTAGTCTACCAAGTTCTTTGATGTCAAATTCCTTGATAAGACTTTTCCTTAGACTATCTTTCTCCTTTTCATTATTTCCAGTCAAGATTATATCGTCCACATACACTAGCAATATTGTGACTTCCCCTGAGTCTGAATGTTTAAAGAATAGTGTATAATCCCCTTGGCTTTGTTTATACCCGTTAAGGAGCATAAACTTAGAGAACCTTCCAAACCAAGCCCTTGGTGATTGTTTGAGCCCATATAGGGCCTTTTTTAATCTGCATACTTTCTCACCTTCAGATTTCTCCTTGAACCCTGGTGGTATTTCCATAAATATCTCTTCCTCCAGATCCCCATGTAAGAATGCATTTTTCACATCCAATTGTTCCAAATACCAGTTGTATTTTGCTGCTAGTGAGTAGTATTCTGACAGTGTTCATCTTGGCTACAGGTGCAAAGGTTTCTTGATAGTCAATGTCATATGTTTGAGTGAACCCTTTTGCCACTAGTCTTGCCTTATATCTTTCTAGTGTGCCATCAGCTTGGTACTTTACGGAAAATACCCATTTGCATCCAACCGATTTTTTCCCTGTCGGTAGAGTAATGATTTCCCATGTTTTGTTCTTTTCTAGGGCCTGCATTTCATCTATCATGCATTTTTCCAATTTTTATTAGATAAGGCCTCAAAAATATCTTTAGGAATATGAATATCTTCTAGTGTAACCAAAAAAATTTTATGTGAAGATGATAAGTTGTTGAAGGATATAGAGTTGGTTATAGGATATAAGGGAGGTGGAGAGCTTACCTTATGTCCAGGAGATGGTTCAGATTCTTGGATCTGCTTTAGAGTGTAATCTGAATTTGTACGTCTGGAGTATACCTTCCCAAATCTAATGACAGCTTGGTCTTTTGTTTCCTTGTCCTGATTTTCAAGTGGATTGGTTTGAGGTGGTGGAGGAAGGTCAAGAGGTATTAGTTCATTTTCCTCATCTTCCTCAAGTTCAGTCTCCCCCTGAAGATGAGGTTTGAAAAAATAGGAACTTTGTTCATCAAAAGTAACGTCAACAGAAACAAAGGTTTTCTTGTAGGAGGACGATAACACTTGTAACCTTTTTTGGTAGCAGAATAGCCAATAAAGATGCATTTAAGTGCTCTTGGATATAGTTTTCCTCTATTTTGGCTATGGATATGAACATATGATGTGCACCCAAATATTTTTGGTGTAAGGTTATGATGGGTTCAAAATTCGGGGTAAAATGAGGACAAAATTTCCATTGGAGTTTTTAGTCCAAGGGGAAGGAAGTCGGTTTATGAGATATGTTACAGTTAGGAGAGCTTCTCCCCAATAGGATTTGGGTATATTATAGTGGAATAGAAAAGCTCGAGTGGAGGCTAGAAGGTGACCATTTTTTCTTTCTGCAACCCCATTTTGTTGTGGCGTGTGAACGCAGGAGGACTCGTGAATGATCCCTTCATTTTGAAAGTAGGAGGAAAGGATTTGGTTAAAATAGTCTTTGGCATTATCGGAGCGGAATCTTCTTATTTTCACCCCGAATTGATTTTGGATCATGGTATGAAATATAGGAAGAATGGTGCTAACATCTGATTTATTTTTGAGGAGATAGATCCAAGAGGCTCTAGTGCAATCATCAATGAATGATACAAACCACGTGCTCCAGAGATATTGGGGATTTTTTAGGGTCCCCATATATCACTGTGAATATAGTACAAAGGAGTATCACATCTCTCATTCTTATTTGGGAGGGAAGTTCTTTTGTGTTTGTCTAACTCACAAGTTTCACAATGAAAATTTTTATTTTCTAATTTCTGAAAAAGTTGTGAATACATATGTCTTAGGACATCAAAAGATGGGTGTCCTAACCTATAATGATGAAGCCAAATAGTGGAGTTTTTATCAACTAAGGACAATATAGAGCAGCTATTTTTAGATTGGTTCAGTTTTTCCAAGTAGTACAATCCAGCTTTCTCCTTAGCAAGTCCAATCTTCTTCCTCGATCTCTGGTCCTGAAATACGCAATAGGTAGGGTTAAATAATGCTTGACAATTATGATCATTGGTAAGTTTTTGGATTAAAATTAGGTTTGTGAATAATTGAGGTACGTGGAGCACATTTTTTAGAATGAGCGCGGGATATAATGTTATGTCTCCTTGGCCTGCTACTGTGGTAAGAGAACCATCAGCAATAATGATTTTCTTATTGTTTGGACAAGGAGTATAGTTGATGAAGTGGTTAGTTGAGTGGGTCATATGATTTGTGGCTCCTGAGTTAAAGATCCATGATTCCTTTAAATGATTTCTAAAGGCACTTAAACTAATAGAAATCGAAAACTTACCTGAGAGTGCAAGTGAGGAAGATGCATTTGGTTTTTCAAGGGATACCAGGAGTTTTTAAGTTTATCAATATCTTCTCTCTTGAGTTCTCCAAGGCTGGACTATGCTTCTGGGGTGGACTGACTTGTAGTGTTATTGGCCTGCGACATGCTCCTTATTTCACCTTTTTTATTCCACTCCTTACTGGGGGGTTTTCCATGTATTTTCCAGCATGTTTCTTTTGTGTGTCTTGACTTTTTGCAATAGCTCCACCAAAGTGAGTCTTTATCTTTGAATTTTGAAGAATATTTACCTTTCTCCTTCCATGATGATTCTTTGTTCATCACCATTGCTGAGCTTTCAACGAACTCTGGTTCTAACATCACTCGTCGACTTTCCTCTGCGCGGATGAGAGAAATGGTTTCATTGAGTGACGGCGTCTCCTCTTTGCCAAGTATCTGAACTCTAACTTGGTCAAATTATGCATTTAGTCCTGCAAGAAAATCATAAACTCTATCGTTTTCAATAAAGTTCTTTAGGATCGCATCATCTTCCGGACATCTGGTTTCTATGCACCTATAGTGATCAAGTTCTTGCCACAGATTTTGCAGAATTGTGGCATACTGCGTTACGGTCTTACTCCCCTGCTTCGTGCTTCTAACTTTGACTTTAACTTCAAAGATTTGAGCCGCATCACGGGCTTTGGAGAAGATTTGTCTGGCCGCATCTCATATGTCCTTTGCAGTCCAAAGGAACATAAATGTACTACTAATTTTTGGAGTCATTGAGTTCCACAAACATGACATAATCATGGAGTTTGCTTCATCCCATACCTCAAATTTGGGATCTCCTTCTTTTGGTCCTCCTCCAAGGAGGTGTTGTATTTTACCTTTCCCCTTCAAGTAGGTTTTCACAAACTGAGACCACTTCAAGTAGTTCTTCCCATTTAGACGATAGGAGGGTTGCATGCTTTGAAGGTCACCTCGACCTGGGTGCACCATAGACTCCTTATTTTGCTCAATGCTCTGGGAGCTAATTTCATACATTGGTTAACAATGAAGGCTTCCAACTTTTTTTTTTTTTTTTTTTTGAGAAAACCTTCCCTGTTTACTAAAACCGGGTCGTCCAACTATTTAAAAGAATCGGACCGGGTAGCTTAGGGCACGCGCGAAGCAGGCACTCGAGCTGGCGGCTTCCTTCGACGATCTTCCCTTCCAGTCGGATCAGGATGCTCGTCGGCTGCTCGACTCCTCTCCTTCGACGATCTTCCCTTCCTGTCGGATCGAGCTCCTCCACCGAGCTGGGTCCAGAGATCGAAACGGGTTCCTCCACCGAGCGTGGGAAGACGCTCGTGCGATCCCGATCTTCGTGCGGATCTGCCGATCGTGTGGAAGAGCAGGATCAGGTTTCCCTTCTCTCGTTCAGCTTTGTTGCTTCTTTCGTTCAGCGATCGGGACGGACTTCCGATCGGCTTCGGAAGTATCTTCCACACGGGCGGTTTCAGACAGGTATGACTGCTCCTTCGTCTCCTTCGCTTCCTTCGTGGCTGTTCGTCTAGGCTCCTTCGATGACAGTTCTGACGAAGTCGAGGCGTCCTCTTGCAGTAGCAACTGGCGGGATAGACACTTCTGCGTCGGGCTCTTGCAGCGTCAGAAGGTTGGATTGTTCGGCAATGAAGGCCTCCCGATCGGCTCTGATACCATGTTAAAACGAGAGATTTATGAGGGAAAAGCTTAAGCTTTATTGCATGAATTCTTCCCTATATATAGATCTATACAAGATATTAGAAAAGGAAACAAATAACTACATAATAATGAAATATAACTCTTCCTAAATCAGCTGCCTATCTATGGAAGGTGTTTCAATGTGATTCATGAGTGCTTCCCATGGATTGCTCTTTGTGACCGTCATATCCTTTCCTATAGTAACGGCTGGATTTCAACACTTACAAAATCTTCTAATTTTCTATCCATGCTACTTCACACAATATTGAAAAAAATATATATTTATGTGTCCAGGAATATAGTAATATTTAATTAGATATCTAATTTGTGTAATTGAATACATGGAGAGACCCTTAAATCATTCTTTTAAATAAATAATTAAACATAAATTTTGGGGTAAAGATATAAAATCAATACAATCTATCATAAATGTATCATTACAGCAATTAGTAAGGCTAACCTTGTACACGTTTGGTGCACCTAGTAAATCAAAGCTGCCTGATGCTTTTGGCCCATGAAAAACGTATTTCTTCAGTATAGATCCCTTTCCTAAAACTGAACCGCTGCGAGACTTAACTATAGCATCCATCACGACATCACCATGCTGAGATTCATGTAGTACCCTACCCTCCTCCTGGTAAGGGATAATTTTTTAGGAACAAGAAACCTTTAATGCTTTTATAAACTAAAAGACAACAGATGCCACAAATTCAACATTCATGTGTCAATTGAACAGTGAAGGGAGCTACCGGAACTGTGAAGAACCTCCCTGGACGTAACCTAATGCTCCATTTCATAGTTTGAATCTCTGGTCTCCTATGCAACCAAGCTTTGAATGTGATCTTAGTTTCTCCTTGCCCACAGAAACCATCAAATGCTTCACTTCCAAGGTATGCTGCAAAAGCAATTAACCTGAAGTAGCGTTCAAGATACTCTGCACCACGGTGTAAAGCCATCTTCCTTACTCTAGGCTCTGCATGCTGTTGATTGAATACTTTCCTATATTGCAGAACTGCCTGGCGTATGTTTTGTAGAGCCGAACATCTGTCAATAACAGCATCCAAAACCTTTCTGCACTCTGCTCCATTGTCGAACAATCTAGTAATCTTCCTCAATAAGAGAATGTCATTTATTCCAAAAGCACGATGAAGTTCCTTTCCGCTTCTGGATTTTGCTACATTTGACACTAATGAAACACTATCACCAAAAGTAACATCACTGAGTAAATCACCATCTGACTCCCGATTGGAAACATCTTCCGATTCCATTTTAATAGGTCTCCCATAACCAATTCGTAGTTTCAGAAGGCAAGCTATCACAGTCCCCGTGGTTGTTCTACCCCTACCCATCTAACAAGAAACTAAAATACTAGATAAAAAGAACCTTGCCAAATGCATGTTAAAACAAAATTTAAAGAGTTCTACCTGACAATTGAAAACAAAAGCAGTATTTTTGGAAGAAGATGCAGCATTTGCTGCTATGGCATCAAAATCAGAACTCTGGGGAGCTTTTCCATCAGTTATAGGCACACGTGCATACTTGATGGGAAGGCCTTCCATCTCAAATTGTTTGAAGACCTCTAATGGAGTCTGAACAGAGTCAGCATTTATATGCTCCCATGCATCAAAAATTTGCCCATCATCAGTTTCATGAATTACCATTATAGCACCACCATAGCGATCTGCTTCCCTCAAAATGTCCTCCTTTAGACGGGCTTCCATTCTTTCCACTCTATCACGATCTATTCCCTAGGATACCATTGGATAAAATAGTTAGTTCCACCTTTTTCAGTGGAAATTAATCAACAGACTATTTAAGAAAAATAAAATGGTACTAAATTAGCATAACAGAACAGATAAATAGGACAAATTTAGTGAAAACATTTACAAGGACTATGAAAAAAAAAAATGCAAGCAAAATTTCCTAGATATGCATTTATTAAAGGAGAAAAAAGGCATTACCGTATATTCTAACATGTTTTTGTATGGCCTTTCCATCTCACGTAGCACAAAAGGCTTTCCATTTATATAGATAACTGGCTCTTCCCTCATGTTATGCCACAAAACTGGCCGATAGCTTCTATTTCCACTAATCCTTTGAATAACAGCTCGAATCCCATCCACCGTGGGATTGGCCACGCCATAAACTGGAAAACCAGGGACTGCTCGAAAATTAGGGGCACCATCCACTCTATCCGGTAAATTAAGATTTTGACAACCCGGACAATGATCACTTTTTAAAACAGTTTGACTTCCAAGAACTTCTCCGCTCCTTGTAGCAGCTACCACACCCATCTCACAAGGACGACCATCTGAAGATTCAACAATCTTCATTACAGATTGTTTTTGTCTAGAAAATCCAAGTGCACCCATTGGGTTTCTCCTCAACAACCTATAAAAATACAAAATAAATGAAAAATGCTGCGGTTAAAGTTAAATAAATCACAGAAGAATAAATTTCATGCATCTCAGCAACTAAGTAGTGATGCATTACAAAAAAGTAATACATAGATTCATCCTTCCTAACATAATTTAAAATTGAGCAATTTGACGCACGCCTCTACCCAAGGCACACACAAAATAGGCTTTGAAGCATATGCCTCACATGGACTAGCTGAGGTGTCCAACTAGGTTGAGTGAAGTGCATCATTAGTGCTTTTTAAATGAGGTGCAAGCCTCATATTTGATGATGTTAAAGTTCTTTTAATTTATAAGCCCATAATTCAAACTAATTTATAAGCATCAAATTTTAAACCTAAATTGATTTCATTAAAAAAACCTAAAATACTAAACCAAAAGCCAAGTGACCACAAGGAGTTGCACACCCGCACATCACAAAGAATCCCCATGCGAGGCTACGTCGCCGCTTTTTTTGTGTTGCCAGTGCCTCACCATCACTGCCATTGAATGCAGATAGAACTTCTTCATTTTGTATCTATTATATTCTAATTTCTTTTTTTATTTGTGGATTGTGTTTTCTTTAATCATTTCCATTTTCTATTCTTTATTTTTAATTAGATTTTCTTTGTTTTAAATGAGATTTTCAGTTTACGATCTTAGACTATTTACTTGTGTAGAATTTGAAGTGGGAGACACTTATCATTTGTTTCTTGTAGCCTTACATTTTTTTTTTATAATCTTATTTTGACAATTTTCTTTAATGTTGTCATGTTACTTATCATTTCAAATTTTTCATCAATTTAATGGTTTAATTCTAAATCTTAAACCTCAAAAACCTTAAAACTTACGCAATGCCTCATGCAAAGAAAATGCATCAATGTCTGATTGCATAATTTCAAACCTTACTTCATAGTGGACTGTTAAGCTCCAGATATATGTCATAATCAATTCAAGCATGTGAGTGAGGGCTAACAAATAGGCCACACGAAACGAATATCAAAACGCTTCGACCCTAGTCGAATCACTCAAACTTCATCCAATTACAAAACGGATCGCACCGACGAATTCAAAACATCAATTTTGCAAAAGAAGAGTCATTCGCACGAATATCAGCGCAATCAAGCAATGAAATTAACAGTTGGTGGGCGCCATGCCACACAAAACAACCCGAATGACTTTCAATTGTCAAACGGATTGCTCTGATGTATTCGGAACATCAAATTTACCTAAGTGAATACCTCTCATAAATAAATCAAGCAAAAGGGGTCAAAATCAACAGCCTACGGATGTGATGACATGTGGCATTGCCCAAAAAACATCCGTTAGCAAAACGAACTTCACCGTTGCATCCGAAACTTCAAAAATAATGATGTCAAACAGCTCTTATCACCCATCTTCCTCCTATCAAACAACCACCTAAATCCCTACCAAAATCCTATCTAATGTTTTTCATAGCCGCCCGTTTGAGACGAGTATGAGAGGAGAGATGGGATAAGGGAAAGAGTTGTGTAGAAATCAAGTAGAAGAGGCGGGGTACATTATTATATATATATATATATATAATAATAATGTACCCCGCCTCTTCTACTTGATTTCTACACAACTCTTTCCCTTATCCCATCTCTCCTCTCATACTCGTCTCCCTCGACCCATTACTTATGCATAGGAAATGGAATTCCCTCACATTCTTCTCTTCTCCTAGCTCTAGCTCTTCCTCACCCATCCCCCATTTCATGCACCCACCAAGCAAACGAAGCTCCCCCTAGTTCCAAAGGATGAACAGCAGCTCCCTCTTGCCTGCTCCCTAACACGGAAACTACTCCTGCTCGTGCAAGTCCTACAGCATATAACTTCACTTCACGACACCTCACTTTCCCTGAAGCAGATCCCAGTTCCAGCTCCACACAGCCATGCCCTTCCCTCTCTCATTTGCACAAAACTCTCTCAGCTCACCATGCACAAGCAGCGGCTGAACATCTCCATTTCTCACTCTCTACTCCCTGCATCAAACTCCACTCAGCCCATGTGAACGTCAACTCCCCATTCACTCTCCTTCTCCCTCATAGCCACTACATCGGCAGGAGCTCGTCCACCTCTACAGCCCACTTCCAAAAGGCTCACAACACCCACACAACTCAAACCGCAACCTCTCTTCTCCCTTCACACCCAAAAGTTGCTCCCAAATCTCCTTACCACAGCTTCCCGTGCACCTCACTTCACCCACACCAGTCTCAACTCCTCCAAAGCAGCAGCTATCACTACAAGGCCGAATCCCCTCTACATTCCAAGAGCTACGGCCAACGTTCCTCCTTCTCCAGTTCCCAACCTAAACAACCAACACTCCTTCACTCACATAACCCAAGCCCAGCCCATTCCTACTTCTCCACCTCCCAAGCCCATATCAACCTCACAAACACCACCTCCCTTCACACTCCTACCCGAACTCCACCTTATCTGGACACCGCAGGCTCTCCAACTCCATAACAGTAGTCCTCCATAGCAACAGTAACCTTGCTCCTCTCTTCCTCACCATTACCAACAGCCATGTTTCCAATAGCTCTCCAATTCACAATCCAACCAAAACAGCCTTCTTACCTACCCGCCCACCTCTCACACACTCTCCCTCTCTCTCCCTCTCTCTCTTATTATTATTATTATTATTTTTATTTTTATTATTATTATTATTATTAGCATCATTAATATTATCATTAGCATCTAAAAAAAAAAGAAAAATAGAAATTTCCCAAAAAAAAAAGAGGGAAGAGAGAAGGTAATTAAAAAAAAAGAGGGAAGAAAAATTATGATTTGACCCCTCCCCATTTTATCGCCTCATTGTCTAATTGATGTCGCATCGAGCACATGGGTATAATTTTGAAACTTAAAATAAGTACTCGTCTGCTTCTAATAAGCGTGGCGGGAAAAAACTGTGAACCCAAGTACCCGTTCACTTCTGATAAATATGGCAGAGAAAAACTGCGCTTGTTTTTGCCCGTGCAGATGATAAAGACCCCGCACACTTCTGATCTTCAATGACTTTTTAACTATTGATATGCCTTTAAAAAAATTACTTTGATCAACATGAATCTTGATGCAATGTTTTGAAACTTCAAGAATTAGAATTAGAATCATCAAAAATATCAAATTAAACAAAATTAAATTCAAATTGACAAATCCAACAGCAAAGGTAATCCAATCAGAGTCCAAATAAGCTCAAACCAATCACGTAAAGGATAGTTAAAAACTTTAGAGCATAAATTAAATCTGGAATTTATCCTGCTGATTTGAATCTGGAATTTCTCCATGGCAATCTAATGGAGAGGTTGAGGGTCAACTGGAGTTTCATCCTCCTGACTTGAATCTGGAATTCCTTCTGCCCTCGGGAATTGTAATAGAGCGGGCTTCAAGACCCTACGAGTGTAAACCCCGATGAATATAGGACTTTCCTCATTGATATTCGTCATTTCTTTGGCTAATTTGGCCAAACAATCTGATTTAGCATTCTGTCCTCGAGGAACTCGAGCCATTTTGACATTTGGTACTTGCTTTAGAAGCTCGAGGGCTCGCCGGTGATAGTGGGCCAATTCGACTTTGCCAACCTTGTAAATTCCAAGTACTTGATTTATATACAAGTTGAGAAATCACCAAATATTTGAAGACGTTGGATTCTGACATCGATCACAATCTCCAACCCTACTAATAGAGCTTCGTACTCGGCTTCGTTGTTGGTTCGAGGTTCAGTCAAACTGAATGAGAACGCTCATTATGCCTCCCTCGGTGCTAAGAAAATGAGATCGATGCCGGCTCGGGCTCTTGCACAATATTTGGAGGTCGGACAGTCTAATCGATGATGCCCCGTCGAAGTACATTTCCCAGAATGGTAAGCTTTTCATTCTCTCGACCTGCATAATCTGCTTATCGGGCAAATCATCATTTAGTGTGAGAATCAGCCGGAATTGGTGTGCAGCGAGGAAATCTGTCAAGGCCTGTCATTTCACCGCCTTCTAATGGCATGTATATGATTTCAAACTGCAATAACAATACTGCCCACCTGGCTAGACGACCTGTCAACGCTGGTCTTGTCATCAAGAACTTCAGCGGATCGATCTTTGATATCAGTGTGATTTTATGGGATAGCATATAGTGGCGCGGAGTTTCTGAACTGCAAAAATCAGCGCCAGACAATGCTTTTCGATTGGGGAATAAGAACTTTCTGCTCCAATCAACCTTCGACTGATGTAGTAGAGCGGCATTTTCTTTGCCTTCTTCATTATTCTGGGCCAATAATGCTCCGAGGCACTCTTCTAGTGCAGCTGTATACAGTATAAGAGGCTTCTCCTGGAATTGACGCTGCTAGAATGGGCGGATTTCAACAGATATCTTTTGATGCTGTCAAATGCTTCCTGACATTCTCCGTCCCATTTGAAACGGACGTCTTTCTTCATTAACTTGAAAATGGCTGCACCTACCCGATAGATTTGATATGAATCTCCGAATGAAAGCCAGTTGTCCTTGCAGTGAGCGAAGCTGTCGAAGGTTCCTTGGTGGTGGCATCTCCGTGATTGCCTTAATTTTGTTGGGGTCGATCTCTATGCCTCGATGACGAACAACATACCCAGGAATTTACCGAGGAGGAGACCCCGAAAGCACATTTTGAGAAGGATTCATCTTCAGATCAAACTTTCTGATTCCTCTCAAATACGATTCTGAGATCTTTTAAGTGATCATTTCGGCCAAGACTTTTGACAACACGTCATCTACATAACACTCGACCTTCTGATGTATCAAATCATCAAATATATGAGTCATCGCCCGCTGGTAGGTGGAACCAGCGTTCTTCAGACCAAAGGGCATGGACTGTGTAGCAGAAAAATCCGATGGGCGTTCTGAACGATGTATGTTTTTCATCTTCGGGTGTCATTTTGATTTGATTGTATCCTGATGATCCATCCATGAAGGAGAACATGTCGTAGTTGGACGTATTGTCCACCAGGA